AAAGTCTGTAAAATATTGTAGAGTTACTTCAATTTTTCAATAAAGACAAGCCATTGTGACATGATTGCGGGTTAAAATATATATATATATATATACAGTATATATAAAGTTAAAATAATAAATTATAGTTACAGTATTTTTAAATCAGCTAGCCTATACTGTATATAGTAAATTAATAAAATCAAATGTAAAAGGTTTATAAAACTCAAGTAATATATCATATGATGTGTAATATTTAATAGGAAAGATAAATTAGGAGAGATAAACTTGCGTTATTAAAGATCATTTTAAATATGAAATTATGATTTACTTGAGTCATTCATACTTAGCATCTTTTTTTTGCCAGCGTGAAGGTGTGATCATGTGTCAGCCTTGTGAAAATTTGTCAGATTGAAAGAAAACGTCATCAAAAACAGCGAGCATATAAGTAAACTCGGGATTATTGAGACGAGGAATAAGAAAAATGTTTATACACAATATTAACGATATTTTACCCATCCTATCGGTCTTTCTTTTTATCTACATTACTCATTATTACTACAAATATTTTGATCGCGAAAACCCTCTCCCGGGACCAATCCCCCTTCCTTTAGTTGGCAACCTTCTTCACATAAGCAACGATGTCTCTGTTTGGCCAAGCAAACTTCAAGAGAAATATGGCGACATATATGAAATTTATTTTGCTTCTCGACGAATAGTCATAATTAGTAACAAAGAAATAGTTGACAAAATAATGAATTCATCAACTCATGGCAACTTTCATTGCCTAGTGAAATCGGATCATGAGGGATTTCAAGAACTTAAATTACTAAACACAGGACTCACCTTCAATCTAAATTATAAAAACTGGGAATATTATCGACGGTTTTATTCAAAAACTATTTTGAGATCATCTGTTGTAAGTACGTACGTGCGTATATTTCATGAAATATTTAGTGAAATGGAAAATTGTTGGGAACAGCTTGGAGAAGACACTGTATTGGAATTTTCTGAATGGATGAGAAGATATTTTTTGGATTCAACATTTCTTCTGTCCACTAGTATACAAAAGCACTCAATTACCAATTATTATAATAGTTTATCGATAGATAAAAAGAATACCACCGTAATTGAAGGTGCTTTTAAGGAAACTGAAACTTTTTTAAAAGCTCTGGAAGACGTTACCATGTGTCTCGTGTATTTTATGATAGTTCCAAAGTTTGTTAGAAACTTTCCTGGAATTAGATGGTATAGCCAGAGATTAAAAAATCAGCTAAATTGGATGAGGAATAGTGTTTGTAATATTGCAAAGGCAAGAAGAGAAGAGATTGAAAAAACACCCGAAGATCAAGAATTAACCAAAGATATGTTAACAATGTTTTTAACGATAAATACGTCACGCGATATTACTGAAAGAATCGCGGATAGCTTACACGATAAACCAATGACCGACGATAAAACTATCATAAACTTTGTTGAAATTATGGCAGGTGGGATTGGTACAGTAAGTAATTTTTTTTTGTTCATTCATATATGTAGTTGCTTCCCGGACCTTGGGTTAACAGATACTGTACTCATAAATATTTCTTATGACTTAGTCGACGCAGAGCATTTGCTTCCTAATTCACTATCTGTCCAATTATCCAAGGGTTAAGGAAAAATTGGTGGAGGAGTTTGATAGAGTCCTGGGGAAAGATCCTGACTATAAAATTACTTACGAAGACATGTCGAAACTTGAATACTGTGATGCAGTAATCAACGAATGTAAGTAATAATTATGCGTTTAACTATTTGTCAATGCGTGCCCGATGTAAACTTCGTGAACTTTGTGAACACAGTATTCACCAAAACTTATTTTATGCAGGTGCGCGAATATTTACCATTGTTCCCGCAATACCTAGAATTAATTCCAATCCTGATGAGCTCGGTGGTTTTAAATTTCCTGCAAAAACGCAATTTATTTTAAATATACAAGGCGTTCACAAACATAAGTCCTTATGGGAAAACCCAGAGGAATTTATTCCTGAGAGATTTATGGAAAAAGATGATAAAAGTATCAAAGGTTTCCTTTATAACTTTGGTGGTGGACTGAGAAAGTGTAAGTTATTTTATTTCACTGTCAGACAATGCGTGTGATTTTTGTCTCGTGCGTGTTTTATGCGAAACTAATTAATTCTTTAAAATAGGTCCCGGAAGAATCTTGGCAATGATGGAAATAAAATTTACTTTAGCAATGCTGTACAGAAAGTACGATGTTGAGCTGGTGAATATGAATGCGCCGATAAAGACTTACGTCACCACCTTTCGGGTTTGCAAAGAATTAAAACTCCGAATTAAGAAAAGAAAGATTTAGCAATTTGATTATCCGCGTATTCACGTAAAATGGTAACATCTTTGCTAAAGAAATTATTGCAACATTTACATAAAAAATACCCTCTTGATATCCATACTAGTTTTATACGTATGAGTGTACGCTGTATACGATATTTATTTATTAATTTTATTTACGTAATTTAATGACGAATTGATAAATTGAAATAGTATCTTCAACATCCAACCCTCATTGTCATTATTATTATTTGAAACATTAAAAAATTTTGAAAATTTTGCAAAATGGAACTTGATATGAGCTAAGAAAACAAATTTGCTATTTTTTTAAATTTTAAATTTTAAATATAAAACTTTTTAATAATAAAATAAAAAAAATATAACAATTGTTTATCTGAAATCTTTTAAAAAACAATTTTTAGTAATAATATATATATATAGCATATTTACTTATAAAATTCTTAAATAATTAATATATTTTTTATATAAATTTAAATTTTATTTATTTTAAATTACAGATTTGCTCAAAATAATTAAGTTATTAACTTTTAAGTTATTAAAAATATATATTGTATAAGACCTGTGGATCAATAGTGCAGTAGGTGCACTTCCACTCTTAAACAGTTCTCATAATATAGGTTATATATTACAGAGTACATGCTCATCAGCCATATGCATTCTTGTACACATCAGACCTATCAAAAGTCACCATCTGACCATAATATAATAAATTAGGTCACACAGATCCTGTTGGTTTTAGTATTATAACAAAAGAAGTTATGATATTTTCACTACCTGGAATATGTGAAGCTATTAAAAGAATGTCAAGAATAATACCATTCATCTCAAAATATTATCAGTCCAATATAGAATCTACTTCTTCTCAAATTGTTGTTCTCATAAGAGGTACAAAAAGATTTTGGTCATCTGTATCAGCCACTAAAGATATCAGAATAGGCCTCGATTAGTCTAGAAGTGTAATAACATTATTTTATGATAGGAACTGCAGGAATAAATATGTTTGGGAGAGACTTATAGTCTCATTTAATCAAGGAAAACTCCTATAGACTATCTTTAAAGAGTGGTTAATAATAATTGTTTAGAAGACTTAGGTTATTAAAAGTTTTACCAATAGTCACTGGGAGTTCTACTTTAGACTATATGGAGATCGAAACTATCAAATAACCTAATTTCTGAAAAAACTAAAACATAGTAAGTTCATCATACAGATTCAAATACACATTTCATACTAATATAGCAAGAACCAATATACATACTAAAAAACACATAACAAGCTCCTTGAAAATTAAAAAATAATGATAGTCTCTAGTGATTCCTCAGAATGTTAGATGCTCGAGCATAATAAGGCAACTAATAAAAATGATACTCATCAAGAATAGATAAAATTAGGTTATATTAAATAAGGAAAAATAGTATAATTAAAATAGCTATAAGTATAAACTCTTGTAATCTAATTTGTATTTCTCAAAAATTTCAAATCAATAAAGCTCAGTCAATATTATTAATTAAAATATATATATACATATACTGTATATATACTGTATATTTAAATAATCTTAATTATAGTTTTGTCTACTTCAATTTGATTCTAAATTTCTGGTAGTACAATATCACCTGGCATCTGATTGGTTAATATAAAAAATATTAGTAGTTAAATGTAAACAAATTTCTATTGGTCATTTTACATATTCTAATAATATCATTGGTAATTAAAAGAGTTGATTGGTACCACATGTCTGCTCCACTTCTTCAATTGGATTAATCTACAAATCAAGTTCTATAAAGTCAATAAGATACAAGCAACAAGTTTTCAGGTGATAAAAAAGCTACTATTTATTTAAGCTGGGGTCTTTCTCTTTTATCATCCCAGTCAGGCAAAGTTCAAAACTAAGATCTTCTTTTTATCCCGATCAAGCAATAAGACTAAATGGTCTCTAGTCCATACTAAGTTCCAACTCTTTAGTTACAGTTAAGAATATATTTTTTCAGAAGTTATTAAAGGATATTACAATCGATGAGAATCCTTATCACTTCCAAGACCTTTCCATCATTACAAGGCAAAAGTATTATTGGGGAATCTGACCTTTTGAATAATGGAAGATATATATCAATAAAATTTCTTATCTAGGTGTGACTGTTAAAAGGTATTATACTAAAACAATATGATTCAGTCATTACTAAGTCACATAAGAACCTGGAGTCCATTATAAGTCATCTCTCTACCACAGATGAATAAAAAATCACTGCTTAAAGAATGTTAGGACCAAGTGTATTCTGGAAGTAAAGACTTTCACTAGATGATAAGTCTTCTCAGATAGTACACAAGAAGAAAATCAAGATTAAGAATAAATAAGTAAAAATGGATCCCTAAAGAGAAAGCAGGGACAAAAGTCAAATGTCCCTCATTAGTAAACATTAAATTTTTTAAATTAATAACTATAAAAAACTATCCACAATTGTTCTTCATTATTCAAATCATTGATTTATAACATTTCCTGATTTTTGTTCTATTAAAGTAAAGAGCTATAAATTTTATTTCTCAAAAAAAGACATATAATAAGTGATCTGCAAAATTTTAACTATAGATACATACCCTCACTAGAAACATTCATAATTATAGATTGTATAATTGCCAAAATATTAGAAGTTTATAGAGCAACTTTTTATAAAGAATATATTCTAATATAATATATATATATCTTTGACAACAAGATAAAGGAAGAGAAGAAAATTTATAATAACAGTTTTTAGAATATAAATATTTAAATATTGTTAAAGGAAATAACAATAAGGAAAAAAGATCTGTGGGTCAATAACACAGTGGTAGTGCATCCAGGTCACAATCACAAGGTCTGTAGTTCAATACCACTTAAGGACCAAAATCAAAAATTACCTTCTGATCAAGTTTGACCAGTTATTCTGTGAAAGTCATACCCAATCATCAGGAACAAGTTTGAAATCAAGTTAGGCTGCAAAAAGATAGGACTTCTGGCCTTCCATTGATCAGGGACTGAGATTTATGGTCGTACTACTGAAAAGATTGCATGAAGAAAGGCTTCTGGTCTAGCTTACCATAAACATCCCAAGACCCCCTGCCCTGGCAGTCTCCAGAACCCCCACTCTTCTAGCTCAGAATATTGCAATCTGGTGCTTCGCTTAATTGAAAATCAGTTAATAGGACTGATCTGATGCCACAGGTAGTGACAAAGAAGGTAATGTGCCCCCTTCTAAGGTCTGAGCGAATAATATCTAGAATTATTAGAGGGTATTACACATCTCGTCGGATATACACAAAAAAGGACTAGCTTAGTGAAACAATAAAAATCTTGTAAGTTCAATACTAACTAGCCTAGAATAGCCATTAATGACTGTGTATTAACCATTTGGCCCCTAGGTAGGTCTGCCCACTTAAGGAGTGATAGTAAGTCTATCTAGGACAAACCGCAATAGGTTATCATTAATCTGCATATGTATAGAAATATATAAGTTTGTATGAGATGATTGATGTAATGTTGAGGATTTCATTATCCAGATATTAAGTTAATTCTTAATAAAATAGCTCGCATCTAATACCAGTTACAGTTTAAAAAAAAATAAAATAAAATAAAATAACAATAAGGAAAAACAAAACAATTATCAACCCATGAAAATTATTATGAACTTAAAAATAAACAAACAATAAAAACTGAGATAACAACATATATAAATAAGAAGGAAGATCTAATAATAAAAGAAATTCAAAAAAAAGTACAAGGTCTAAGCATTGTAAAACTCAGTACTTATTCCACTAGAAATTATCAAGAAGTAGCAACAAACAATTTTTATTATATAAATAAAAAGAAAACTTACAAAATTGGTACTATAATAGTCAGGAAATATGAAAAAGAAAACATTCATATATATAAATAGTCTATTAAAACTACCAGTAATTAAAGAAATCTATTGCATATAGAATTCCTAAATAGAAATGAATAGTTAATCTTCTATATTAATAAAGAAGAGGATATCCTAAAATATATAGAAGAAATAAATTGCAAGAAAGAAAACTTCAGTGTCCAACAATTAAATTCTAATAAAAAAGAAAAGAATATATAACTTAAAAAATCAAATCAACAAGATGAAAGAAAAAAAAATTTCAAGAAGCTGATACTGGAAAAAAGTGAAAAGATATTTTATATCAGTTTGATAAATATAGATTAAAAAACAATTCAATTTCAACTAAAAGAGTATTTCAAGAGATATGGTAAAAATAAGAATCTAAATATATATAGCTATTAAAAAGGCCAGATTAAAATAAGAGTATATATCAAAAAATATAAAAATATTAATACCAACTTGGAGAATATTTGAATAACTTCAATATGAACAGAAATGGCAAGAATAATCTTTATCAAAATAGAGTCATCAAGTAGAGATATTACTGATATTATAATACAATAAAATATTTACTTTGCAAGACTTTTTTAAACAAACAAAACATAATCAAGCCTAATAGCCAGAACAGTAGAAGAAACAAAAACCAAAGCCTATTATATATTAAGAGATTCCTGTACATTGCAAAAACACAACTTTACAGTAGTATGTTTTGAAAATAAAGAATATTTAAACAAAGCATGCAAACAATATATTTTTCTGCAAGGATTAAAATTATTATGAAATGCAAAATATATTAAAGACCACACAATCTCTTCAAGAGAATTAGATATAAAAGAATAAAACAAACTAATTAATAAGATATCATAGAAATTGACAATGATTTAAATTCTGATTTGGTATTAACTAGCTCAAAAGAATCAATATAATAAAGAAAATAAAAGAAAAAGAAACATAAAGATCAAACTTTCAAAAGATTTGTCATATAATATCCAGCCACTGGAAACAATAAAACATCATTAAACTTTCGAAATAAAAGACAATAGAATAAATATAAAAAAAACTTCAATGGCAACATTAGTAATAATCACAATAGTATACAACAAGTATTATTATAATTGATTCTAAATA